CTACCAAAACATATTAGAAGTCAATTCAGTAAAATAGCAAGACACGAAATCAGCATTTTAAAAAAAAGGAGTCTTTCTGTATACTTACATGAATGTAAGTCAAGAAAAAAAAATCTCATTGTAATAGCTATCAAAGACCACAATCTCCCCACCCTCAAATCTAGCAACAAATACAAAGTTTGAAAGGTCTCTACATTGAAACCATAACACTGATAAAAGAAGCTCAACACAAACACAAAGATACTCGGTGCTGGTGGATGATTAAAATAATTTAAAATGTCCATACTCCACCAAAGCACTCTGAAGATTCAATGCAACCCTTACCAAAATAGCAATGATATGCTTCACAGAAAAAAACTGATATATGGCAAAGGTACTGAGAACACATGATGGGGAAGGGCAGTTTCTTCAATAAGTATCACTGGAAAAACTGAGTAACAACATGCAATGTGCCAGAGTCAACTGAAATTAATGAGAGTAAAATGTAAGACCTCAAACTATGAATTGACTAGCTGAAAACATATGGAAAGAGTTCCATGACATTAGTTTGGGGCAAGGGGCTTTTAGTCTAGATCCCCAAACACAGGCAACAAAAACAAATGAGATCACATTAAACTTGAATGCTTCTAACAAACTTAAATCCTTCTGCTTTGTCAAAAGAGACAACGTAAGGAAGTAAAAAGACAACGTTCAAAATAAGGAATTCACAAGCTACACAGCTTTGTCAGCTGTGGTAACAAATATCCAAAAAACATAAGGAGCTCAAGAGCAGAAACAAATCAAGCAACCTTCCCAATTCCCAATTGAGCAAAAGATCTGAACTATTTCTCAAAATATATACGAATTGCCAGCAGGTATATGAAAAAGAATAGTCAACACTACTCATCAAAGAAGTGGAAATCAAAATTTCAGTGAGACACCACCTCCCTCTAATTAGAATGACTATTACAAAAAAGACAAAAGTGCTGGTGGGATATGGAGAAGAGGGAACCCTACAACTGGTGGGAACATAAATTACTATAGGCACTATGCAAAACAGTATGGAGATTACTCAATAAGCAAAATATAAAGTACCATCTGAGCTTGCAACCTCACTATTGGATACATATATATCAGAGGAGATGACATCAGTATGTTGAAGAGGCACTTGCACTATCACGCTTAATGTAGCACTAACCACAAGAGCCAACCTTGGAAATAAATATTAAGTGTCTATCATGGAATAAAATGTGGCATGTGCACACATCAGAATATTGCACAACCATGAACATGATGATTCTGACATTTGCAACAATACAGATGAGACTGGATATATTGTATGTTTCAGAATATTTGAAAAAGGTTTTGATAGTACTTAATAAAGAAATGATGTGAATGAGCAGATGATAAGCTACACACTTGGATCTTCTCCTTACATAATCTAGATATGTGATCAAGCATCACAATGTATCCTATATTTATAACTGTTATGTCAATTAAAAATGAATGAAAACCAAGGTTTAAGACAACGAATTTCTAATTCTCTATGATAGCCATGCCTGTTTCTCAATACAGTGTCCAACACTGCAGGTTACAATGAAGGGTAAATAACCCTTCTGCAAGGAGCTGACATGTGTGCACACTGTATCTCCAGATGACATGATGATTTCAGTCATCACGTTGGAAGAAAGTTGGAAGGATTAATAATATGAAATAATATATGCAGTTCCAAAAGAGTAACAGCATGCATATATATGTACATATGTATATATGTACATATGTATATTTGTACATATGTATATATATATATGTATATATGTGGAAATTGAATATACTGCTTCTATTCCAACTCCACACGATACAATCTTTGCTTCATATACTTACTTAACCTTGTCCTTAAAGGAAAAGAAAAATAAATGCCACTAACAGATTCATCTTACAAAAGAAATTCCAACGTGACAAACAACTTTTCTTTTCATTTGCCTTGAGAGTTTAAATCAAAGGTAAACTTGGTGGGGTCTTGCTGTGCTGTCCAGGCTGGGCTCCAGAGATCCTCCTGACTCAGCCTCCCAAGTAGAAGGGCCTACAGGCTCCTCAAGTCAGATTACTTATGAACAATTAGTCCTTTTGTATTTTTTTTTACTTGAAGGAACTGGAGTTTATTTTTTAAGATTTATCAGCTTATTAGTGTTAATAATACTCGTCATTTAAAAGCAAAATGTTTATTTTAAAACTTTTCTGTCTTTGCGGCACAAGAGAAATATTAGAATCTATGTGGTTAAAGAGATTTCTCTTTCTAGAAGTCATGTAATTAACTCTGTATTACACATAACTAAATAAATGAATTGACTCCATTTTCTAATATTTTGGGACTAAAGCCAAGCCATTTAATTGTTCTTCAATGTTCTTAAATAACAAAAATTATTATTAAAATAGCAGATTATAAGTTTCTGAATGTGATATTATAAAAACAGGCCTTAGTTTCTTTTAATTTAAAAATTATGTAAAAACAACAGGCTATAGACCAAGGTTCTGCTAATGTGTCTTTTGTGATCCACTAATCCCATTAGATAACCTAAACAAAAGGATTGCTGCCAAATATTTCTGAGAAAATTCTAGACAATTCCTAACATGTATTAAAATTGTGATTCTGAAAAGTCTTACAGTATTGTATTCATACACTGCTTTGCTGAAGGGCAACTTCTTTGTAAAACTACTTTTAAAACAAGACAAAAAATGAAAACCTGTTTGAACTAGCATTTTTTACCCTATTTGGTCACTAAGAACTTTTTCTTAGTACTACTTAACATGCAATGGGAAACACTGAAGATAGCCTCTTTATTTTAATACAAGTACATGTCCTACTATCTCAAAAATATACTTACTCTAACTAGATTGGAAAGACCAAGTAACAAACATTGGGCTTTTCTGAATGAATAAACAATATGAAACTGGAACTTCTACCTAACGAAATGGTGGAAGTTGCTTATGGATGGGGTGTTTATAGAGTAATTACCAAGTCTTTACATTTTAATAGATCACTATTTTATATTTTGGCCAAACTCTTCTCTTTGATAACATAATTAAGTCATTGCTCTATTCTTGTACTTCATAGTACTAAGGGAAAGTAGTAAAAGATAATAAACAGCACAGTTTTTACTACTCCAATACCATGGGATTATGTTGTAATAGGACACTACTGTCTTGGGAAGATCAAGGACCTATGAAGTACAGCTACAGGTGGAGGAATTAGCAGAGAATAATCACCAATCTACTGTTGCTTTCTGTAAGATATCTGCTAGAGATGTTGTGCTAAACTCCATCTATTGTATGATTCTACTATTCATTGAGCCTGACCTTAAAGATGTTTATTGGAGTAAGAGATTCTCTAACCATGTTTACAACTTGAATATATATATATATATATATATATATATATATATAAAGATATATAAAAATTCCAAGCTGAGCAGAACTTTCTTTCTAATCTGATCAGTGTCACATGACTAAAGTCACACTCTTCTGCAGTTTATATTTTAGTTCCACAGAGAAAAATGTAATAAAAAATACGAAGTAGCCTCTGTGGATGTGGTGGGGATAGGGGGGCTAGATAGGAAAGCCTGCTTGAAGGAAGTAATAACTTGAGCAGAACTCCCAACAGAGAGAGGGACAGTGGCTTATGATCATCTGTGGAATGTGTCCCAGGGCTGAGAAAGAGCAGCACTGGTCCTGCTGGGCATACCAGGTATGAGTGACAGATAGAGGCACATGGCAGATCCAACTGGGAGAGGAGAGGGATGGGATAGTGCAGTGGGGCTGAAATTGGAGGGCCTCACAGACCATGGTGGAATCTTGGTCTGATTCCATTCTGGGTGAGATAGAAAGCAAGCCGAGGATTCTGATTGGAAGAGAGGCATGACATGACTAGTACTTTGAAAACATCATACTCATTGCTGTATGATGGATACAGCTCAGATGGGAGAGAACAGATGAAAAGTCAGTCAACAGGGTAGATGTTACAGGCTGGAGCATACACTTGTAAGTTCCCAAATCTATTCTGTGATTTTTTTTCCCTAAGATAATTTCACAAAGAAGTAATTTAATCTTTTTTTTCTATTCTAAATCTTTTTTTTTAATTTTATTTGTGAAGATACTGTACAGAGGGGTTACAATTACATGGGCAGGATAATGCGTACATTTCTTACCAAGCATTGCAGCCTCCTCCTTTTATTTACCCTTCACATCCCTTAGTAATTTAATCTTAAATCTACCAAAAACTCAACTTAGAAAGTATAGAACACTAGCTAGGCATGGTTGTACACATCTGTAGTCCCAGCACTCAGAGAACAGACAGGAAGATTGCCAGCTCAAGGCTAGTCTGGGTTATGCACTGAAACCTTGTCTTGGAAGGACAAAAGAAAGTGAAAGGCACTGTTTTAAATGAAAGGTTGGTTACTAATTACCACAGCAGTTCTATTTTGTTCTTGAATCAGGTGTATCAACTAGGTAGGATTTGTTTGCTGAGTTAGCCCCAGACAGTGGGAAACAGTTTTATCAAAATTAAAACATTAAAAAATGGGTATTAGCTATACCAAGTTTTTTCTTTTAAAAAGGAAATTAGAAACCAAAAATAATTTTAAGGAGGATAGAAGCTAATGGGTCTGGTTAAAGTTCGACATGTAAAATTGAGAGTAAGTGTCTAAAAACGGCAATGTAAGATAGCTGAGCTTGCAGAACAAGACCTTCTACTTTTCTGAATAGATTTCTTTTCTTTTGGTAGGGTGTGCGGCTTAAATTCAGGGCCTGGGTGATGTCCCTGAGCTTTTTTTTCTCAAGACTAGCACTCTGTCACTTTGAGCCACAGCTCCACTTCTGGTTTTCAAAGCCAGACTGGCTTTGAACCACAATCCTCAGATCTCAGCCTCCTGAGTAGCTAGGATTATAGGGGTAAGCCACTGGGGCCTGGCTTTCTGAAAGATTTTTCAGTTCACCTATTAGTCAAGGACTCTAAATGAGCTCACCTATAAATGGGATGGAAGCCAAGGAATCACCAGGAGGACTGGTACTTGAGGCCTTCCTCTCCTCCATCCGTTTTATATGGACCTCTCTGCGAGCATCATTTGGCAACCAACAGGTGGTGTCTGACCCGGTCTCCTGGTCATTTACTGCCAAGATGTAAGACTGATGTCTTAAAGGCTGTGGTGTTTGGCGACCGGAGGGAGGTTTTTCTCTTAGGATGACAGGTTCTTTATTATCTAAAGCATTTGAGGGCTGACCCTCAACCTCTTGTAAATTTAAATCGTCATTTCTTTGACTGACAGATAATTCTAAGTCTGAAGTACCCAAGTGCTCCTTCATCTGAGGACCAGGCTTTGCAGAAGCTCCAGACACACAGAGGGATTTCCCTGTCTCCGCTTGGTGATTGGGGGTGCTTTCAGTTCTGAACCACGTCTGCTGACCCAACACACTGTTCTGATGCAAGTGGTTTACTGGTCTTTGGTCTTTGATAGAAACCAGTGAGTTCTGGCTGAATGAAAGTTTGGAGACATGGGTAGAAGGCGCTTTCAGAGAATTACTTCGGACTTTCATGAGAGGTGATCTGTCTTGTGAAATACCCCGAGCGAGTGACATTCCACTGGTAGTTTGAAAATTCCTGTTGGATTGCAGTGGTTTTAGATCTGGTGGAATTTTTCTAAACTGTGACACAGAGCCGACTCCTCTACCACTCACTCTCCTATTGTCAGAATTAACAATGCTTGGAGCCACTGTCAAATTCGAACCCCGGAAAGATTTATGAATTTCTTGCTGCCTGGGTCTTTCATAAATACCCCGTCTATCGTCCTGTTCAGTAAACCCACTCCAATTATAAGTCTGTTTCCGCTCTCCATTGGAATCAGGTGTTTGATTTTCTGAATTGACATTTTCTAAGGCTTCACCCTGGCCCTCAATGTAATCCCAGGAACGAGTTCTGTGGTTACTAAAACTAACAGATGAGGATGTCAGAGCGCCTTGAGATGCACTTCTTGGACAATACTTCATCAGCACCGAGTCCTCCAGTCTCTCCTGGGACACGCTGCGCTGCCGGATCTGAACAGACTGGGGCACTCGATCATGAGAGGTGCTTCGACGTCGTACCTGCAAAGTAGTGCGGGTTGGGATCACCTGGTTGTAATCTGTCGTGCTCTGAGATGCTGCTCTTAAACTATCCAATCTTTCCTGAATTGTCCGACAGCCTATGTGCAATCGCCTGTTATCAATATACTCTTTGTAAGTCTTATAGTTTTTCCAGTCTATGTGCTGATGGGAATTGGGGGAATAATGATTGACAGGTACAGAAGGAGAGTCCACCACTTGAGATCTACTGCCTGACAGTCCTTCCGAATGTCCAGATTTAAGTAACATCCCAGAAGGTTCCAATGCTCTGGAGCCTGAAGTCTGATGAATCAGATGGGCAGTAGGAATTGATGATGGTGATGTGGTCCTGGATGCTGATTTTAAGGAGGTCTGCTCAGTTACGCCATACCTCACTTCTTCAGTTCTATGGGAAGGACCTGTATGGTTGTTTCTATTGGATAACAAGTCTACAGCCTTCTCAGAAGGCACAATGACAGTCCTTATACTTTCGTTGCAAACACACACTGCTGTGTTTGATTTTGCAACATCTGTTGGTGATGGAGGCACTTGTATTTCCATTCTATAGGCCCTGCCAGGTTGTGTCAGGACTGGTGTACTGGTTTGCTGTTTGCTCACTGATGAGTCTGGAGGAGATACTTCGACTGGTTGTGCCATGGCTGGAGGGGCAGATGGCAGCCAGGGGTAGCAAACTGGTGGAGGCTCAGGTATGTTACGGGCATTGCCACTGTAGGCTTCATTGCCTTTTAGGTAGGCATCTTGAGAATATGCCTGTATGGAAATGAGAGAAAAGAGTCACTAGAAATTCACTAAATTTTCTGTGTTTGTAGTAGAACATTTTATTACTAAGCCCTAGGTGTTCCTGAATGATTCTGCCGCATGCACTCAAACACAACAGAGTACTTCACAAAGAAAATTTAAAAATTAAAAAAACTAGTGTCATAGAAATCAAATAAATTATAGAATTTGCAACAAATATAGATTTTAATCATTTACTTTTTCAAAAGGTGTAAGACATATCAACATTCCCCCAACCAATTAGATATAGCCATGTTGCTTCTAAAATTCTCCTCATTCAAGCTTCTCAATTTTTCAGGAGTCGACAGGTTAAATGGCTGCCTAATAAATCCCTGCAAAAGAAGACTCTTCTGCCAGAGAAGGTAAAAATAGTAAAAATCTTAACCAAATACATTTTGAAGTACTAATACTATAATAAAAATTTATTGAAGTACACTGTCCATTAATCATTACAGGATCTCCCAATAATAATTCATTTTTCACAAATCAAACTCTTACTAGCCATGCTAAATGTTTTAATATTTAAAATAAAAGAACATGCTTTTAATTAAACACATAAACATTAAAGGCACAAACAGATAAAAAGGGTAATCTGTCTTACAGAATGCAAAATATACTTTTTTTCTTTTAAGCTAATGCAACAACAATAATGTACAAATCTATCTGGTCTCTTATTAGATGAGATTTCTGTTATTAACAGGCAGGCATGCAGCTCAATTTTTGTCAACTATTTATGAAATTATCTAGTAATATTTCTTAAAATTTAAGAACAACTAATTAATTACAGAGACTGCACAAAACAGAGCTCATGGATGCAACACAAGATCACATTTAGCATCTCAGACAGTCAGGTGTGGAAACATATCTTCCCCATCAAAACAAGCTTAATTCAACACTCTCATCACATCCTGTCTTTGCATACACAGCTTGCAAAGCCCAAGTGCAGCCACAAACATAAGAGGAGCAAAGTTCTAGGGAAAGGGAGAGGAAAGCGTGATACTTTTAAAAAATTACAGATGCAGATAAATATTATGCTTTGACACCCATCATTTATTTCCAGGAGACAAAAGAAAACCAAATGTAAAGGTTAAGAAACAAGGTAAACAATATTATCACAAACATTCTCTGCAAATTAGTAAGATTAAGACTATGGAGGGATTTTTTAAAGCAAACTTACAATTTTAATAAATCAGCTCGTTAAAAATCTCTACAACACATGACTTAAAAAGCAAGGAAATGGCTACTAAGCGTTTCTTACCAGTGCTGTGACATCCTTTGTAAACTGTAGCTAGCAGAAAATAGGGAAACACAGTAGAAAGCTGCTTACTGATATAAAGACAGAATCATGTTGTCATATTGATGCTAGAAACAGCCAGCTAAAAATACATCTACACTGATTTCTCTGGAAGGTACCAAGAGAGGTAAAGGGCAGTGAAGCATAAAGAATAACTTCAGTATCCCTCTAAACCACTTTTCCCCAGGCTTTTTAATCTAGTTCTTACTTTATTTGCTTGTGACTCTTGAAAGCAAAAATACATGTGGTGACACGCATGCCTGACAGATTTTTTTGCAGCTCACTGCTGTCTGGTAACGCGTTACAAAGCTTCCCTTCCTCACAAGCAACACTGATGTCTCTCATTTCCCCTGAGCTGCTTCCATCTCTGCTTGCACATGACGACATGAGTGCTCTGTTATGCATTTAAAATAGTACAACCTCCTCCCTCCCCAGTAAATCAGAGCACAACCACAAGCTGTCAGCTGACGGCAGCCGCTTTTACTCTATGATTTGGGGTTTGGGGGTGGGAGGGAAAACCGTTTTGTTAAATAGATTTCACTCACAAATTCTGATTTTGTAACACCGTCTTTTTTATACTACTTTATTAGTTTATGAAATAACTACTGAATGTACATAAAATATGACTTCCTGGACTCTTAGAACCTGGACTAGAAGGCAGTCAGAAATTAGACGTGCATATACTAACATTTTTACAGTATAAACAGTATATATAAATAGTCAAGCAGAACATGTACTTTGCATGTTGGATATGTGCACGAACCTAACAAGCCTGTCTTTTTTGTGCTCATTAGAGCCACACGGCTGCTCTTCTGTTTCAGGAGCCTGTCTGCACTGCCTGTGCAGTATTTCCTGCAGGGGGTCGGGAGATCTTGTTATGTACCAACTGAAAAGGAGGGCAGATCCCTACAGCTGGTGAGAGAGGGAAAGCTGTCCAGCTTCTGGACTTCTGAAAAACCTCTGTTATGTTTTTAAACACTGGGAAACCTGAAGACAAATACAAACATTTGCCATGAAGCCTATTTTTTCCTCCACACATTAAAAAAAAGTGTCTGGGAAATGCTATTCTAGAATGAACAATTTAAGAATAACTTCTTTGTTCAAATTTGGGGAAGACTATTATCTCTTAACAATGGAAGTATGTGGCTGGAACTATTAATTGCTTAAAATTTTATTATATATGCATCAGATTATCTCTAAGAATTCCTACATAGCAATTCTGAATATTATAGTCACAGGTGCCCACTTCTGAGTTAAGTTTTGACAAGGGGCTTTAAAATTCATACATATGAGACTGTCTAAGTAGACATGCTAACACCTAGAACTACAGTCTCATTTGAACTATAATTGAGACAATAAAAAATGAATTCACTGACTGGTGGCTCACACCTATAATCCTCACTACCCAGGAGGCTGAGATATGAGGATCATTGTTAGAAGCCAGCCTGGGCAGAAAAGTCCATGAGACTCTTCAATTAATCACAAAAAAAGCTGGAAGTGCAGCTGTGGCTCAGGTAGTAGAGCACTAGCCTTGAAACATCCCCTAGGCTCTGAGTTCAAGCTCCAGAACCAGCAAAAAAGAAAAAAGAAAATCATTCAAGAGTATTACTGAGATCCTCACATATTTTTAGCACATTAACCACTAAACAAGATAACTTTATTTCTATCAATTTACTATCTTATTAAAATGTTACTCATTCTTATAAAATTTGGAACCGATACTATGTCTATCTGCCAGCCAGAGTGAAATATCAGTGCCTCCACAGTCACTGTGATTTGTTATGTACCACTGGGAGGACATGGACACACCTGCGGGTAAGTCAGGAACATGTATATATGGGAGGGTTTGAGAGGTGTGGTTCAAGGCACATTCTGGGAGGTAAAGTCAGGAATCAATAGTAAGCACTTTAAGAAATGATTTTTCTTCTGATAATGGTGTTCCCTAGGAAACCAGTTGTGCATTAAATTCCTACACCTTCAACGACATGACTTCACAGGGCTAGCATGGGGTGTATCCCCTGGAATGGGTCAGAATATGCAGCTCTCTCAGATGAACATGAAGTGCAGACATATGATTTTATATTCTGTGAATGGAACTGAAAGTTCTGTAACTCACTCTTGGCTATGACTGTGTTGGTTTTCTCTACTACACTTGGTTACAAAGTACCAAATCTTCCACTGAGTTGTAATGGTCTGACATGCCAATGTTTTGACTTTCTACTGGGGAATCTTTGACTGGTGAGTGGGCACCAATCAAGTGGCACAAAATACCTCTTACAGGGATTATATTCTCATTCTTATATAAACATGTCAAAACCATCCAGTATTAGTCAAGTTTATCTGAAATGGTCATGAACTAGAAATGTTTTAAACCAATGTCAATCCGAATTGCATAGTTAACTATTAATCATTTCTATTTTGGTTTTAAGATCAAATGAATGCTTTACAACTTACGCAGGTGGTTTCTGACAGATACAGACAATAATATTTTTCCAAAATAAAAAATGGCAAAAAATTGCAATTGTTTAATTGTTCTCATTTAGCTTTTTTTCACATCACTCCACAATATTTCTTAAACTCCTTTTAAAGTTTTATATCTTTTTTTTCAGTCGTGGGCATGAACTCTGGGCCTGGGCACTGTCCCTCAGTTCTTCAGCTCAGGGTTAGCACTCTACCACTTGAGCCACAACTCCACTTCCAGCTTTTTCTGCTTATGTGGTGCTGAGGAATTGAACCTGGGGCCCTCATGCATGCAAGGCAAGCACTCTACCACTGACTGAGTCATCTTCCCAGTCCCTAAAGTTTTATATCTTACAACAGTTTAAAAGCTATCTTAATATTGGCATGAATCCGACTCTGCCTATTACAGCTAACAAGCTCTTAAGCAAAACCAAGAGGTAGGGGCTGGGAAAGTGGTTCAGTGGTAGAGTACTTGCCTTGCATGCATAAGGCCCTGTGTTCAATTCCTCAGCACCACATAAGCAAAAAAAAAAAAAAAGCCGGAAGTGGTACTATGGCTCAAGTGGTAGAGTGATAGCCTTGAGCTGAAGAGCTGAGGGACAGCACCCAGGCCCAGAGTTCAGGACCCCCCCCCAAAAAAAGAGGTAAAATAATAAAGAAAAATGGATTACAGAATTTTCCACCTTATGAAAGGCAAATCAAACAAGTTTTACTATTAATAGTCTGGATGTTAAGGATAGGTACGATGTCTTACAGTAAATAATGCTAATTAACCTTTCAGTTTGGTTTCTAGTAGTTAAGTCAAAGTCATAATTACCATACCTATGATACTATTAGTGATTAAACAAGTAAACAAACAATGCAGAATAAAATGCCCCACAGAACAAAGAAGCTAGTTCATATTTAACAGGCTAACTTGTTAACTTAATGTCATTCCTCATACAAAAAGCAAAAATATCTACATACCTGTACAGTGGACTATGCACTGACCTGGCTGGTGGGAGAATGGGAGAAGGGGATGGAGGCATGGGGAGAGACTGGCACTTTTTATATACTTGTCTATATTATTTGAAAAATGTCAACAAACATGAACTATTCTTATAATTCATTCAAGTCATATTTTATTTTATTTTGGTCGGTCGTGGGGCTTGAACTCTGGGCCTGGGCGCTGTCCCTCAGCTCTTCAGCTCAAGGCAAGCGCTCTACCACTTGAGCTACAGCGCC